AATATGAAAAAATATTTTCCGATAAACCAGGGAAAATTCAAGAGTTCCAATGCCAAATACGAGTCAAGCCAGGGGACTCAATTCACCAACGTCAATACCCCATACCAGTAGCTCGCATTCTCAGGGTCGATGCAGAAATACAACGCATGTTAGCGTTAGGTATAATTGAAAAATCCACATCACCATGGTCATCACCCATAGTATGTATCGAAAAGAAAAATGGCGATGTAAGATTATGTTTGGACGCTCGAAAAATCAATACGGTTATCATACCTGACCGCGAGTGCCCCACTAATATGGAAGAAACACTAATAAAATTTCAAGGGATGAAGTATCTCAGTTCTATTGACTTAACAGCAGGGTACTGGCAATGTCCACTCAGAAGAGACTGTCGAGAAATCACCGCTTTCCTACACAGAGGAAGAAATTGCCAATTCAAAGTATTAACATTTGGCCTAATCAATTCCGTGGCTGAATTTCAAAAAATATTGGACCAAGTACTCGGGCCGGAAATATTGCAATTTGCCGCAATATACGTGGATGATATTCACATAACTTCAAAAAGTTTTGTAGAACATATGCAGCATCTTGAACAAATATTCCAGAAACTATCACATCATAATATTACCATAAACCGTAAGAAATCACAATTTCTAAAAAACCAAGTAATCTTTCTTGGACATATAATCTCCGAAAAAGGGATATCCATGGACCCAGACAAAATAAAAGTCATTAATGATTTTCAACCACCAAGAACGAAAAAACAAATACAATCATTCTTGGGATTCATCAACTTTTACCGTAAGTTCATAGGAGACTTATCACAAGACACAGCAATTAAGTATGCTAACCAAAAAAGACACCAAGTGGATATGGGGTGCGTCACAACAACAAGCATTCGACAACATAAAGAAAAGGTTCTTAGAAGACATTGTGATACAATTCCCAGACTTTACTAAAGAATTCTACCTCAATACTGACGCCTCGACAACCCACGTCGGAGCAGAATTATATCAGGTCACTGAAGAAGGACAACACCAAACACTAGGATTCGCCAGTCGAAACCTCAACTCTGCAGATCGTAATTACAATACAACCGAATTAGAATTATTAGCTATTGTATTTGCGTGCAAAAAATTTAGACACTATTTGTTAGGACACAAGATAAAAGTACTTAGCGATCATCACGCCCTAACTTTCCTCAACACTTGTCAACTCCTCAATTCCAGATTGGTAAGATGGTCTGCCCTATTACAAGAATATCAACTGGAAATCATTCACATACCCGGCAAAGAAAACATCGGAGCCGACACTTTGACCAGGTATCCTCAATCCCCATATGAAGACACACAAACAATCACTCAAAACATTGTGATTAACAAGTTAGCTCTACTCGAATACAGCCCTGAATTAAAAGCCAAATTCAAAGAATTGCCATCAGCACAACTTACCGATGAACACATCCAAAGGCTGAAGAAACGACTAGACAGGATCACTGATCAAAATCTTATATGGTACAACCAAATGTTATTTAAAAAATCCAATAATGGCGAATACCAGGCACTCGTACCCAAATCACTAGTACAACAATTGGTAGTAGAAACCCACGAAATTTACGGACATTGCGGAACATATAAAACGTACAAATTACTACAGCAAAACCACCAGTTTCAGAACATGTATCGCACCATCAAACGAATATTAAAAACATGCGATCTGTGTCAAAGGACCAAGATAAGTAATATCACGGCCAGGGGACCAACACTCAGCCTACTCCCGGAGAAACCACTGGAGATGGTATCAGCCGACCTCATAGGGCCACTACCCAGGAGACAGGGTGGATGTAAATACATCATTGCCATCCTTGATTTATTCTCCAAGTATATCAAGTTGTATCCTCTAAAACGAGCTACCACAGACACCATAATTAAAAGGATCATTGGAGAATACATACCTACCATGGGATCATTCCAAAAAATCCTTACCGACAACGGAACTCAATTCACGAGTCAGAAATGGATCAAAATCATGGAGGGATTGCAGATAAAAAGCATTCACACTACCATATACCATCCAGAAAGTAATCCTGTCGAACGAGCAAACAGAGAAATCGGAAGGTTACTACGAACATATTGCCACAAGCAACATACTAATTGGCTCCTATGGCTGAGCAATGTGGAATTTTGGATCAACAATACCACACACACCACGACTGGATTCACCCCTCAGTTTATTATGTATGGCAAGAATACATCCTTATCCATAACTGAACTAGTCAAATTTCCAAAATACACAATAGCTGTTCCTATACACAATGTCATACAACTTGTCATCAAGAGGACTAAACAAAAATCACAAACACGAAATGAATACAAAGACCGTGGGAAAAAATTCCCAGAATACACTATCGGGATGAAAATTGTAGTAAAAGAACATCGGCTATCCTCCGCGGAAGACCGAGAAACTCACAAACTATTTCTCTTGTATCATGGACCATATCAAATATGTGAGATACACAACAATAAAACAGTCACTGTAGAGGACACTGCTGGAAGACGACGAACATACAACTATCAAAATATAAAACAATACCATGAAATAAACCCTCCGTCTCTGGTCAGTGCCACTGACGAACAACAATAACTCTGTATGATGCCAACACCTATGTAAAAAAAAAAAAAAAAATAACAAAAAAAAAAAAAATGTATAAAAGAAATGTAACTAACCTAAATGTCTGTGAATCTAACCAATAAATATTGTAAATCCAACTAACACATTCCCCCTGTAGGCAAAACAGAAACGAAATCATCATGCCTATCCATGTCAGAATCCCGTTATCAAGCAATCCATCAACAAAATCGAACTGAAACACATAGATCGATTTCTCACTGGTGATCAGAAAAAACGTGTTGCTCTGTTCTACCGAGAAGAAGCTGCGAAAAGAACTCGCTACATACTAGAACCTGTATAGACCATCCCTGAATCTGTCCAATTGGTCAAAGCTCGTCAACCAGAACCATTCGTAGAACCGACCACTGCAGAACCAGAGGAAGTGCTAGAAGTAATGCCCGAAGAAATATCCATTCCCCAAAACAACCATGTACCTACAGAAAAGCATGAGGAACCCGACGTCTCCTCATCACCTGACACGATCGTTACCGATAGCGATGACATCGAACCAGTCGACACCGAAGCTCTTGAAGTCGGAACGTCACCGTTAAGTGAGCTCAGCTCTGACAGCAGCCACGTAAGCAGTCCCGACTCAGACCCAGTCCAAGACCGACTCACGCAGTTATTCCAGAAGAATCAAGGGTCATATAACCATTTCAAGAAAGATGTACTCACCATGAGAAAATTCACCAAAGACTTCGGAGACATCTCAAACACGCAGTTAAAGAAGCTAATCTATCAGGAAAAAACAAGGCAGATCAAAGACCTTCGAAAACAACACCAGCAATAAGGAAATGAAAAACCATACAACTACCGATATTGATAACGACCATTGAATTATGTTTTTATTTTATTTTTCTTATGCCTCAAATCCTCGACGTATAATGAAAATAAAAATAAAATAAAAAAGGGGAAGTTGTAAAGAGACAAACTCGAACGCCCTAAGCCCGTAGCGCACTCTCGTTACCAGTCGTCATCAATTATATATTAACTACCGCGACGCGCTCTCGCGCAGTAATTACGCGCGGAACACCGCAACAGCCGTTCCCGACGTCCGTCAGAACGCGTGCATACCGCAACTCCGATATCGCCGGTACTCTGCCCGCAAAGGAAAGATCATTTTCCGACAAAACCCCGTAACGTAAAACCCTTTCGAAAGCACCATAAAAATCAGTAGAACATAAAGAATACGATGCATATTTTACGGATATACGTCAATTCATCGCGAGTCAATTCACCGTGTGTCATTTCATCGTGGTCAATCGCGTCAATTTATCGCGACGTCAATTTATCGCGACACTAATTCATCGTGTGTCAATTTATATATATTATATTTTTAAATAACTACTCCAGAAAAACCTAGAATGACGTTATATTATTACTGTGGCTGATTATAATCTCCATTACGATAACGATGAGTGTTAACTAGGCCAGTTTATGAACCAGTCGATCGACAACTGTTGAACTTTATTTATATTGCCGCGTCGCCGTTTTTGTGTTAGTGCGTTTTCCTTCTTTTATACAATTATGGCTTTTGAAATGTTAAAAACTGAAAGAGGAAAAAGTATGCTTTCATTCAATGGTTATATTTTCGTAAAAGAAAAAGAAAGTTACGTTAAATCAATATGGAAATGTAACCAATATTTTAAAAACAAATGTCGAGGACGCGTTCATTTAAGTGATCGAAAAATATTAAAAAGTACTGACCATAACCACGTTCCGAATTCAACAGACACTAATGTTAAAAAAAACTATAAATTTACTAAAAGAAATAGCTACCAATAACGTTGATGCAAGTTCTCATTCTGTAGTAGCTACAGCATTATCTCAAATCCCTACAGAATGTGCGGCTCAGTTACCTAATATTCATAGACTCAAGCGTACTATACAACGATTTAGTATACCTGACGAGATGACAAAAACCACTGACGGTAATCTTTTTTTACAATATGACAGTGGTATTAATACAGACAGAATTTTAATTTTTTCAACAACAAATTTATTAAAACTTATGACGCAATGCAACAATTGGTTTTGTGATGGCACATTTTCAAGTGCTCCAACTTTATTTTATCAAGTTTATACTATTCATGCAGTACAATATTCAAATGTTTTACCATCAGCTTACGTCTTATTACCCGATAAAAAAGAAAAAACGTATAGACGTATGTTTCAAGCATTAAAAAGTATTACTACTGGATTATGTCCTAAAACTATCATGGTTGATTTTGAAAAAGCTACGATGAACGCGATAAATTATGAATTTCCAGAAACAGAAGTAAAAGGATGCTTTTTTCATTTTTCACAGTGTATATGGGGACAAATTCAAGATGCAGGTCTTCAAACGAGATATATCTAAGGATGATGTAATATTCGCACTACAAGTACGAAAGTTACCAAGTTTAGCTTACGTACCTGAAAATGAGGTAATTAATGCTTATAATAATCTTTTGGAGACAACATATTTTACCGAACATGATGAATTATTATCACCGATCCTCAACTATTTTGAAGAAACTTGGATAGGATGCTTGGACAGACGACAAAAAAGAAGAGCACCTAAATTTGACATTTCAATTTGGAATTGCTATTCATTGGTTTCGGAAGATTTACTTAGAACTAATAATGCAGTAGAAGGATGGCATAATTGTTTTACTTCAATTTTAAATCGATGCCATCCAAGTATTTGGAAATTCATATTCTCGTTGAAAAAAGAAGAAAATATAAATAAAGTAAAACTTGAACAATATATAGGTGGCGAACGTCCACCCGCAAAAAAAAAATACTTTCACAAAGCACAGCGTTTGAAAAATATTTGTTATGATTTCAAAAATAGAACGACTGATGAATATTTACAAGGAATAGCACACAATTTCCAATTGCAAGTATAAGTGTATTATACATTGTTTTATACATTTTAATTCACAATTTATACATTATACAATTTTTACAATTTTATTATATTTATAACTTTTAATAATAAAACACCTTTCTAAAAAAAAGACAACATTTTTAACCATACCTACATAAAAAAGTAAATGTGTAGACAGTCCTAAGTCTGTGGGAAGGAAAATGGGAAGGAAAATGTTGGATTTAAAAATATTACATAATATATATACCTATATGCGATAAATTAACTCTCGATGAATTGACTCGCGACGAATTTACGTGCCACCATATTTTACATTGGTTTTAAGTTACGCGGAAAAACACGAAATCATTAAAAGTGTTTTACCTGTTTTACCCACCAAGAAGAGGACCCAAGTAGCATATATGCTACCCAGAAAACGCTGTCACAGTACCAAACTCCCCGCTGAGTACAGTATACCAGTGAGCCAGACGAGCATACCACTCGTTATACACGGACACTGTTTACTATACGTCCAACCATGGCTTAAATATACAAGGTTATTGCACATAGCCATTATTGTTATCAAATAAAATAAAATGGCAGCGTAAGGGTCACGATTCTTTATCAATTATTGTTATCACTTAATTATATAATGTATAATGTATATATTCATATAATATACAGCCAATCAAAACATCGCCCCTTACGCTGCCATTTTAATTTCTTAACAAGATAAAACGATTTAGTGGGGGTACTACTGCAATAACCTTGTATATTTAAGCCATGCGTCCAACAGCATTTTGCCCCAGACTAACACAAGCCGGACGAGCACACCACTCGTTATACACGGATGTGTTTACAGTCTGAACCGGCATTCCCACTATCGCCACGTCGAGCCGCCGCCACCCAGAGTTGAGGCGGTGCGTGTTGTATCGCTGTCCAGTCCGTGTTCTTCTCGTGCCGTGAAAGAGCCGTGAAAGTGCGTTCAGTATTCTTACGACTGGTCTCCAATTTGCTTTGGTAATAAGATATTTACTAAGTAGTTACTAACCTCTGAATCAGTTGAAGCAATTGTACGGAACGAAATTTGTTTTAATAGTATCTCTGTTGAACTGAGCTTCTTGTCCTGGGATGAAATCTTAAAGACTGGTGAATATTAGTGATCATATTATATTCATTCCCAAAACCCAATTACATTATATGAATCTAATCTGTTCCAAGATTCATTAGAATATTATTACTGTTTATTGAGCAGTAAGTAACTTTATTATCAATGTTAACAATTATTTATTTACAAATAAATTATAATCCAAAAATATCTAACGTATTCGAAAATGAATCTTTTTGAAACATTTTATTCTGAATTATTTTATAATATTATATTAAAATGTGATAGGAATATTTTAGTATAGGTACCTATGTATATAAAAATACTGGTTGTAAATTATTCACGAACATTAATTTAGAAATAATAATTATTAGTGTTTGACATGTCTGATCTAGATTGTTAGAGATCACTAGAATTGAAGTCTATTCATACTTTTTTCATACTAGGTTTGGTTTGAAAAAATATTTGATCATAAATTATAATTTAACTACCATCTGTTCTGATTTTAATTTATATAGTACCGATAATATTTGTAATATCGATAATTATTAAGAAAATTCTATTTTAAAGTTTTATTTATTTTATTTTTTTTTTATTGATCTTTTTGTAGCTTCAGCGACATGGGCCATTAGATTTTAATATTGTTACATTTGTACATTAAGTTAGTTTTTGGGTGACAATTTGGTTACAATTTGGTTACAAAAAATCATACTTAAACCCTTTCTGGACTGACGGGACTTTAAAGTCCATTGAAAAATAAAATCTGTATAAATTTAAAGAATATTAATAAAGTGGTCATACTGACTGACAGGACTTCTATGTCCCTTACTACAAATTCGCCAGACCAAACCGTCGTAAATTTCCCCTTAAAAAAAGTAAACCGGTGTGGATTTAAGAAATTCGATGTACTAAACCGATTTAAAAATGCGTCACACTGGTTTGGTTTTTTCGACCATCATAACGAGGTGGTCGAGAAATACCGATCGAAATTTGTCCACAGCTTATTTTAATATTTCCCCTCAACAAGCATTATTTTATCATATTATATTACATGTTATCACTTATAATTTATAGTTAATTTTATTCAAATGTATGTATTTTAATATTGTACTCGAAAATTTGCAAATTATATTATATTATATTATACTCATAAGTCATAACCTAAATAAATAAATAAATAATTCGTTATGTCTTTATGGGATACTTCTGATGAAGCGATGGATAGCTACATTGAAGGGTTGAATATTTTTAAACCCTTCATCAAACTTTGTAGTTTTAGAATAATGAATTGAAGTACATAATATTTTAAATTAATATTATTATATTTTATAATTTATGATTCAAAAATTGTTTTCAATTTATTATTCCAGTTGTTGGTGAGGACATTGTAAACGATGATAGTAGCTCCTTTAACCATACTACTCCAAACTCTGAAATTTCCAGTAAATATTACATTTGAAATTGTTTCATAAACTAAATATGATATAAAAAAAAAGGAAGCATACTTTTTTTTTAGACTCATGGACAGCCGCAGCTACGAAACTGTTGATTGCACTCAAATCAACGTATAATGAGCAATTTCAAAATACAAGAAAAAAGGGGAAAAAAGGTGGGTAAGTGGATGTTGCTCTGCTGTACAGTAGGTTACAAGTGGGTCACTGTATAATTGATGCTATTAAATTTGAATTCAATGATACAATATCATTGTATAAGAAAAACGATTCTGAGCGAAGACGGTATGTCAGTCTAGGTTTAAGACAATTATATACATATCTATGGTATTAAAAAAAAATTGACCTTTAATAAATTCCAAATTAATCATATCACATTATCACAATATCCATTAGGTCTTTATAACACGTTATACACCAACATCAAACCCTGATACTATCATATATATATAATAGTACACTTTAGAAGTTTCAAGTAGGTACCCACGAATAATATTATATAATCACAACAAAATAACTAAGTTTTTTAATATGTAATTTCGTCCAAATTTGAACATAAAATGACTATAAAAATAAACTGTGATTGTATATTTTTTAGATTTTTCGGTAAGAGAATTAACTACTTACGTGGAATCTTGTTTTAAATTTTCAATCCTTAGCTATAAAAACTGAACATTTTATAACTTATTAATTACGATGATTAATAATTTTCGAGATTTTGAAAAATTCTGTCAAAATTCGATGTTAAAATGCTTATAAAAAAAAATTGTGCCTATGTATTTTTAATATTTTTCAACTGCTATTGTAACAATATATCAGGAGCCTTGTATTAAATTTTTACACTTTTTGGCCCAACAGATAAAACTTTATTGATATTTATAGAAAAAAAAACTAAAAAAATTGAAAACTGAAAATGTCCGTAAACGGTTCAAAAAGAGTCAAAATATTTTCAAAATTGTATGGTGTATAGGAAATGCTAATATAAACATTCAGTGAAATTTTCATGTATCTACAGTAATTCGGTTTTTAATTACAACAAAAAAGGAAATTGCCACATGAGAAATCGAGTGAATATCCAATGTTGTAAAAATTTGAATTTCAAACGCTCATAAAAATTTAATTTGACTTTCCGGTAGAAATTTTTTATTGATAAAGGTAGACAATCTTATGAGTAATCTTGTATTAGATTTTCAAATCTTAGATTTAAAAAGAAAAATTTTTACGAATTCTTAACTCAAAATAATTTGCTAATTTTCGTGATTTTTCCATATTTTGTCAATTTTTGAACTTTAAATGCTTATAAAAAAAAACTGTGACTAACGATTTTTAATATTTTTCATCTGTCTTTGAAACAATATAGTAGGAGCCTTCTATTAAATTTTCAAGTTTTTTTAACCAACAAATAAAATTTTATTGATATTTCTAGAAAAAAAAATGAAAAATTAAAATGTCCCTAAACAGTTCAAAATATATCAAAATCTTTTGAAAATGTTATCGTGTATAGGAAAAGCAAATATAAACAACCAGTGAAAATTTCATGTATATACGTTCATTTCTTTTAGAGTTACACCAAAAACCAAAATCGATTTTTTGGAAAACCGATTTTGCGTAAAAATTCCCGTTTTTCCGTAATTTTTCTTTTGTTTTTCCCGGCGCTTTTGAAAACTACTGGGAAATTTAAATTTTGACCTCCCCAATGCACCAACGATATTCACTTTCCAATCGAACAAGATACTGAAGTCGAAAATCGAAGCATTATTTCGACTACTTATCGTGTACACAGACACAAAAAATGATAGTGATTTTAAAATATAACGTGAACGTCTACCACACAGTGGGCATTTTTTAGATTCTGAGTGAAACGATGAATGTATTGATTTTACAATGATGTGTGTTTTTTTTTTTTTTTTTTTATTTATTTTTTTAAGTCTGTGTACACGATAAGTAGTCGAAATAATGCTTCGATTTTCAACTTCAGTATCTTGTTTGATTGGAAAGTGAATATCGTTGGTGCATTGGGGAGGTCAAAATTTAAATTTCCCAGTAGTTTTCAAAAGCGCCGGGAAAAACAAAATAAAAATTAAGGAAAAACGGGAATTATTACGCAAAATCGGTTTTCCAAAAAATCGATATTGGTTTTTGGTGTAACTTTAAAACAAATAACCGTAGATACATGAAATTTTCAGTGGTTGTTTATATTTGCATTTTCTATACACGATAACATTTTCAAAATATTTTGATTTATTTTGAACTGTTTAGGGACATTTTCAGTTTCCAATTTTATTAGTTTTTTTTTTTATGAATATCAATAAAAATTTATTTGTTGAGTAAAAATACTTGAAAATTTAATACAAGGCTCCTACTATATTGTTTCAAAGACAGATGAAAAATATTAAAAATCGTTAGACACAGTTTTTTTTTATAAGCATTTAAAGTTCAAAAATTGACAAAATATGGAAAAATCGCGAAAATTAGCAAATT